ACCTTGTATACCTTACACCTTGTATACCTTACACCTTGTATACCTTACACCTTGTATACCTTACACCTTGTATACCTTACATAGACTATAGTCACTATAGTTAGTTGTTTAAACTTATACCGAAACTGAACTATAGATGTATGTGTATGTGTACGTGGATGTGGATGTAGATATAGATGTGTATTTGGATGTGTGTTTTCGAATCACCTCTCTCCTCCCTCTCCCCAGTCATCATTCCGTCCTCGTCTTCGCTCTCCTCTGGTCTGGTCATCACATGTCATGTCCATGTTCCATGAGTCATGAGGCATGAGGCATGAATCATGTCTGCTAAACAAACACCTGGTCCTCGCATATGATGGCATTCCTAGCTGAACTTACTCACTCCCCACTCCTACTCCAACTCACTCCTACTCCCACTCCTATTCCCAGCTCGAACCCACTCCTACAATAGGATAGCATTCCTAGCTCTACCTACCCTACTCCCATGGCTTCAAAAATTCCAACGCACCAGCCAATTCCTTGCGGATAGTAGCGACGTGCTGCTCACTGCGCGGCTTGATCTGCACCTTGAACGGCAACGGAGCCTGCAGGATGCCGGCATTGTAGGCGTGCGTGTCCAACGGGATGGTCTTGCCCGTGGCCGGATCGACGGGCTCGGCGAACTCATAGGCCCAAAGCAACTTGGCGGCAATTCGCCACATGTTCCGCTCGGCGAAGTGGATGCCAGGGCAGAGACGACGACCGGCACCGTAGCCATAGTGGTGTAGATACTGGGAAACCGGTCAGTATGGGTAGAACTTTACAAGTCAAAGGAGGGCAACGGCCACGGCCACAAAGCAGAACTGTGCAAGACAAAGCAGGGCCACAAAGCAGAACTTTGCAAGTCAAAGAACACAAGACAGGGCCATCACTTATCTCGGTGGTTCCATTCCGGACTTCCGGCATAGTCGTTCGCCAGCTTCGGGTGGTCTTTGTATCGGTCTGGGTCGAAGGTGTCGTTGTCTGGAAACAGCGATTCCGTGTGGTGGAGAGCCCAGACCGCCACGAAGAGCGTCGAGTCTTTGGGAATCAACATGCCCTCGTAGTAGTCATCTAGAGATAGTAAGTTAGTCTTGTTGAGTGGTCAAGGAGGCCAGACGGAGGATAGGATAGGATAGAATAGAATAGAATAGAATAGAATAGGATAGCGCCTCCATGATGAAATGGGATGGATGGATGAATGAACCACAACACACTCACCTTCGCGAACCCGGTGCGGGAGTCCAGTCACGGCCCTGTCATACTTGATAAGCCAAGTCCTAATCAGACACAACCATCGCACACTTACACTGGCCGCCATCTCATGCCCTCTTTGACCACCTGGTTGATATACGGAATGTCCTTGAAGTCGGTGAACTTGGGCGCCCGGGTGGGCGGGCAGACCTTGTCGATTTCTTCTCGTGCTCTCTTCTGAACTTCGGGATATTTGGCAAAGGCCAAGATCAGACTCAGGATCTGCGCCGCAGTGGTGTCAGCCGCGCCTTCGACCACTTCGCCCACCAGGTTGTTGAATGCATGAGTCGACATGGGCCATCCTTTCGTGTTATACTCGTCCAACAGATGGTCGATGATGCAATCTCGTTTGTCTCCCCTCTCACGACGTTCATCGACGATGCGTCGAGCCTTGCCCCACATGCTGTCGAACACTTCACCCGCTGCCAGCGCCCGCCGTTTCCAGTAGGCAAATCGCGTGGGAATGAACCGGAGAATCGGGTACTCGTCGACCGGGGGATTGGCTCCGGCTTCCATGGCTTCCGTCCATCTATCCATGACATCGTAGACGACCTGCATAGCATACCACAGTCAGTCACTGTCAGCAAGCACATGACTCAGTTTCTGGCACTGCTCGCTTCTCTTCCATCTTTCTTTGGGAAGGGAAATGCAGAGAGAGACACGTACATGGCCCCAGAAAGAATCAAAGGTTGGTCCTCGGTGTCCGAAAGCAAGCACTGAAGCGGAGGAAGCGGTGTATCTCCGAACATGATTGAAGAATCCCTCGGGGTTGTCCAACAGATCGTTCAGGAAAACGGCTGCTCTGTTTTCGTGTACGGTCAGCAAGCCAGATCTACGCAACCCCACCAGCAGACAGGGCATCCTACTCAGCCTCTTGGACCAGAAAGTGCTTTTCGTCCAGGTTCTTGGGCGAGAAATTGTGCGAGATGACCTTACGCTTCTCGCGCCAGATAGGATCCATCTGTTCCAGAGCGATATGATCGCCTTGGGTCAACAATTTCCCGACATAGCTGGCCGGCCGGTCCGAGTAGATAGCGCCTTTTTTGTCCAGCAGAGCATGGATGGCCTTTCGATCGCAGAGGACGATGATGTTGGTGGGACCGAACTTGAGTGAAAACACCGAGCCATATTCCTGGGCCCATTCGCGGAATCTACGCTCCTGTTCAGCGATGTGATCTGGTGTGATGTGATGCTCGAGGCGCCAGAGCCTGAAGCCTGTTGAGCAGTTGAACTCACTTTGCGTATAAGCCGCTAGACGGGATCTGATGAAAGTTGCCGAGGATAGGGAGAGTTGGAGGTCCTGGGGGCATGCGCGGATCACGTCTCCCAATTTGCAGCAGACGGTAGAGGCCTACCGCGAGCACAATGGCAACTGCCGCCCAAATGGCTTTGGCCTGGTGCAGTAGACCGGTGATGTTCTCCATGATACGAAGGGGGTCGTGGTCGTGTCGTGGTCGTGATGCTGGAGAGTCGTGATGAACATGAACTGGGCATATTAGCTGGTCCAAGGCATCGACGCAGGCAAGATAAAGATGATATCATGCTAGTGTGCGGCGTCTCCCTCGCACTCACACCACACACCACACCCACCAACCCACCAGGGCTCGTCCCCGTCTAGCCGGTGTGTCTGAGTGCCGCGTGCCGCTCATTCGCATCGTCCTGTTAGTCTCGTACGAGCTGACTTGGAGCCGGATCCGGATCCCTGTATGCATGTCTTCCCAGAGAGGGGAGAGGCCGGATGATTTATCGGGCTATTCACAGGTTCGTCCGAGTCACACCGGGGGAAGCGCCCCTCCCCCAGCCTTGCATGACCAGGAGTACGGAGTACGGAGTAGTGTACTCTGTGCAGTGTGTGGAGCACATCTGGGGAAGAGAAAATATCCCGCCGATGGACCCCCAATAACCACCAGAGTCCAGAGGAGGTGGCGTTGCTACTGACACCTACACCCACCGTGAAGAATTCAGAGCTTCGGATGTGCCGGCTAAGACACAGGGCCATGTGACATGTGGACGTGTGAGACAAGAGCCGAGCGAGCCCGAACCCACGTACCCGTACTAGACAGAGTCAGTATGTACCATGCACAGAGTACAACAGTATCCTCGGCGCTCGTGGATGATGGAGGTCAATTCATACTGGTAGGTAGTTAGTACTGTACTGTACGATATGCAAGCGCCAAGAGTCCGCTAAACTCTACCTAGGTAGACTGCTAGGGACATGGGGACTGTCCCGTGTCTTCGCCTAAGCCTGAGCCTGAGCCTTCGGGCCCTTTGCCCCTACTGTACGCCCCTAAGCCAGCCTAAGCCCCCATACCCCCAAGCCCCCAAACCCCCAAACCCCTTAGGCCTACTCAGCATCACATCCCCAGGCCTCGGGGTTGCCTCTCTGGTGGCCAGCACCCCGCCTTCCTTAGCCTAGGCATATCTGACATCTGACATTTGACATCTAACAATGTACCGATAGATGTGATGGCGATGGTGATATACAGAGTACTCCGTAGACGCTGTGGGCTGTGGGCTGTGGCTGTAGCTGGAGCTGGAGCAGTCACTACCTCCTCAAGCACAACTTATGGGAGATGTGTACTCCGTATCGAGTGCTCCCACCCAGGCAAGACCAGTAGGTGGTAGGAGTGGTGGTAGGAGTGGTGGTCCAGCATCGCAGGGCTTACTTGAGGCTGAGGCTGAGAATTCGAATCAGAGGTAGTGACAGTACGGAGTACATACAGTGGTACCGTACCTGATGTATGTACCTAAAGCACATCCCTCTCCATGCTGTATTTGTATTTACAGTTTTGTAAGGGACTCGATACTGACACTGGCTCTGATCCTATACGGACGGGAGTACGGAGTACTGATAGAGTACTGTAATGTGCCATCTACCTGGTACCCAGATACCAGCTACCAGATACCTAGATACCTGGTGAGTGGTAGGTGCTGTATCCTCTCTGTACTACATACTACGTCCATACTACAGGGAAAACTCCCAGGCTGCCGGTCCCTTTTCGGACCATCTCTATTTAATCAGGCCCTCGACCGAACACTGTCCTATCCGATCCGTACAGTACAGTACCGTATCACTGTCTAGGAGAGATTCGCCCCTCTTCCTCTTCGCCCCCGCTGTGCTGCCAGAGAAAATATGTATGTACTGTACGGTAAGGACATTACTAACACAGCGAGGGGCATAGTAATTGATAATTCTCAAGACAAGTCAAGTCAATTGTGCCTAATTAGCCTCCCTGCCTCAAAGAATTGAATTGCATCACTCATTCATTGCACACGACATTGCACACGACATTGCACACGACATTGCACAGTATCTAGCTACCTACTCTGTACCTAGCTATCTTCCTAGCTACCAACCTAGCTAATCAACCAGCCCACATATCACCACTCCCACTACACTCCAACAAGCAAAGCACTCGCAATGGCCGGCAATTTCTTGCAAGGAAAAGTGTCGCTGGTGACGGGCGCGTCGTCCGGCATGGGTCGAGCCACGGCGTTACTGTTGGCGCAGCACGGCTCCAAGATCGTCTGCTGCGACTTGAGGCCCGAGCCCAACCCGAAAGGATACGAGGCCGATCTCGACAAGACGACGGTGCAGGTGATTGAGCAGAATGGCGGAGAGGCCATTTTCCAGCAGGTTGACATTTCCAACTTTCCGCAAGTGGAGGCGGCTTTTGAACAGACAGTTGCTGTAAGTGCACAAACCCAAAAACCCAAACCAAGAGAGTCCAAGCAGGACAAGCCTCAAGCCTCAACCCCAAACCAAAAGAGCCCAAGGCAGGACAAGCCCCAAGTCTCAAGCCTCAAGCCTCAAATCCAAAAGCCATAGCCCATAGCCTGGAGCATGAAGCCACAGCCACGGCCACGGCCACGGCCACGGCCACAGCCCCAGCCCCAGAGATCCCATGCCCAAGCCAGACTGAACAAAGAGACCCCAACCCTCATCCTCCCCATAGAAATGAGTCAAGGACCAAAGGGGAAAACCTCTACCTGTATCTGAAATATCTTGTCTGGTCTGGTCTGGTTTGGTCTGATCTGAATGGTGTACCTGCCGAGCTATCGTGCTCGGTGCTATTTTATCTTGTTTGATGCCATCCTTGAGAGACTTCTGTTCCATGCAGTTCTGTCCTGTCCGGTGCCATCCTTGATAAGAGTTCTATTTCATGCTGTCCTGGTATTCAACACTAACATACCCCCCCAGAAATTCGGCCGTCTCGACATCGTCGTCAACTGCGCCGGGCTCTGGGTGCCGTTCCGCAAATTCGTCGACGAAGACGACGAGCTATGGTCGAAGATGATGGCGATCAACCTCGGCGGCACATCCAAGGTCTGCCGGCTCGCGCTGCGGCAGTTCCTCAAGCAAGACGTCGACCCGGCGTGGGGCAGCCGCGGCCGCATCGTCAACATCTCGTCGTGTTCCGGCGTGATCGCGTACGGCGGCCAGGTGGCCTACTGCGCCACCAAGGCGGCCATCAACCACCTGACGCGCGCGGCCGCCATCGACCACGCCCAGGACTCCATCAACGTCAACTGCATCGCCCCCGGCGTCGTCGAGACCGGCATGGCCCGCGGCAATATCGAGAACAAGGACATCATCAAGGTCATGAAGGCCGCCACCCCTTGGCCGCGGCTGGGCAAGGCCGACGATATCGCGGAGGCGGTGCTGAATTTCTGTACTCCGGCCAGTCAGTGGGTTACGGGCCAGGTGTTGTCTGTCGATGGGGGGATGACTTTGGGGGTTCCGGCTTAGATAAGATGACCTGGGAGTCTGCTGCCTGGGAGTCTGCTGCCTGGGAGTCTGCTGAAATAAGATGATCTTGAGAGTCTTGCTTGAATCAGATGACCTTGGGAGTCTATGCTGAAATACTACCTCGGTATCGATACCGACAGTATGTACTAGCTATATAGCGTATATATGTATATAGGTTCAAGCTCAAGGTAGCCAGCCAGCTGTGCAGTCAGTATCTTGTACCTACCGGCATTGTACCGACCTACCTTGTACCGACCTACCTTGTACCGACCTACCTTGTACGCATCTACATTGTACCCATCTACATTGTACCCATCTACATTGTACCCATCTACATTGTACCTACCTACAGTACCTTGTAGTGTCCAAGTCTTGTCGTCTTGTCGTCTTGTCGTCCTGTCTTGTGCTGTCTTCTCTTGTCATTTCCTACTCTACAGAGGTTAGACAAGGCTGAACTGGAATTAGACCTGGAACTAGAACTAGAAATACAACCGGCTAGAATGTAAGCCAACCATACCTGGATATTGTGGACTGAGGCATAAACACAGATACAGACACAGACACAGGCACAGGCACAGTATTGTTCTGCTCCCTCAAACATTACTCATACCTTATGCTTATGCTTATTTTTATGTTTATTCTCATTCAATTTCTGAGTATCAGTCAGGCGACATGTTCAAACATACATGTCGTGGCCAGGGCCCCTTTGCCATGTCCTAACTGGTAGTAAGACGTCAATGGCGTCGTATCAAACCAAGGATCCAAATCCTATGCAAGTACTGTGTACGATATACTGCCAACGCCCCCGTGCCCGTGCCCCGCCCCGTTTTGCGTCAGGGGCATTGAAATGCATCCCATAAAATCATATCATAGACATGTTCGTATTCATTTTCACTTTTGTCATTACCAGACATCCTCCTGCTCGTTGGGTCAGTGGAACTTTTACTGGATATGATGGACAAGAAATAAACTTGGACTTGCACATACCTGGAATCGCCCTGAACTCTTCATGTCCCGAATGGTAGCTTCGGCATCGGACAGGGAAACATTCGACTCACGGCTGATAATCTCGGATAGCGTGGTCTGGACTTGACGAGCCATACGTGCGTCGCCGCAGATGTACAGATATCCCCCGTTGTCGAGTAACAAGGACAGCACCTCGGCGCCGTGGTCCACCAGGAGATCCTGGACGTAGACCTTCTTGGCCGTCTGACGCGAAAACGCAGTGTGGAGCTGGAACCGATCGCCGAGGGTCTCCTGCAGTGTCTGGGTTGGATAAATCAGCCATGAACCCAAAGTAACCTGTCCGCCCGCCGAGGCATGTCTAGTACTCACCTGCCACTCTTGCTTGTAGACAAAGTCTTCCGATTCCTTGCGACAACCGTAGAACAGGACTGACTTGCCCACCACAATCCCCGTCCCGGCTTGCACCTGCGCGGCTCTTTCTTGCACAAAGGCGCGGAATGGCGCGACCCCAGTGCCGGGACCAATCATGACAATCGGTCGACTAGTGTCCGAGGGAAGTCGGAAGGTGGAATGGCGGATGTGGATGGGGAGGCCGTGTTCGTACTTATTGCGAGGCCCGGCGAGGGCGTAGGTCGAGGTATCATGCTCGATCGGAGATTCCTGGTTCTGTTGCTGCTTGAGAGCGAGCAGGTAGTTGGTGGAGATGCCCTTGAAACAGCGGTCGGGGAACTGGACGGACTCAACCACCACCGTCATGGACACCGTGTCCTTTTGCACCAGCGACGAGGACGAGATGGAGTAGTACCGCGGCTGCAGGGCCTTGACGCATTCCAGGAGCACGGCAAACGGGACGGGACATGTCGGAGTACCGGGAGTGATGGCTTCGATGAGTTGAGCCAGGTTCAGCATCGGCCCGCTGACTACCTCGTGGAAGTGATCTTTGTCCTGGCCCAGCTTGACGAGGGCGGCCTTCTGCACGGGATCCGTAGCAAATCCGGCAATGGTGCCCACCGACTGTCGAGACACGGGGCCGGCAATTTCCAGGTAGTAGCGCACGGCAGCGTCGTACGTCGTCGGGCTGGGGATGGGAGCGTGGCCGGTGGCATCCAGGGCGGAAATTTGGATGGGGGTGTTCCGGTCGTCCAGTAGGCCAAACACGCGCAGGAAACGGTCGACCTCGACGTCGGCGTTCATGGGCCATACCGCCACATGGTCGCCGGTCTGGTACGACAGGCCGGAGTCGCGCAGGTCCAGCTCGATGTGTAGGCAGTGGCGATCAGTGTTGGAAAATAGCTCTTCCGACTTGACCAGCTTCACGATGGCCGGGTTGTGAGGCCCGTGGGGCGTGTGTTTTGTCCCTTGAAGCTCGTCGTGGCTACGCTCGCCGAGATAGATAGCATCGGTAGAAATCTGCTGTTGCGGTTGCGGTGTGACGACGAAGGTGGGCTCAAAGCGCGCCTCGTGCTCGTCGAGGTTCATGGCGACGCGCACCGACTCCCACATGGCCTCTTTCCAGGAGAGGAAGGAATCCTCCATGGTGCGGGTGGCTTCGTCGCCCTCGCCGACGGCACCGAGGCGTTGAGCCCCCAGCCGCTGCAGCGAGGCGTCAACCTTGCGCACCACGGCGTTGTAGTGCTGGTAGGTGCTGTTACCCAGGCCAAAGGCGGCGTATCGCAAGGTCTGCAGCGGCGCGGCACCATCGGGCGTGTCATCTGCAAAGGCCGGCTCGTCTTCGATGATGAAGTCCCAGAATGCCTGGGCATTGTCGGTCGGCTCGCCTTCGCCGTACGAGGCCAGCACGAAGAGGGCCACCTTGTCCGATGGGAACTGGCTCAGCGTCTCGTAGTCGTAGTCATCCAGGTCGGCCACCAGGGTCTCCAGGCCGAAACGCGCGTGGCCTTCTTTCGCCAGCTTCTCGGCAAAGTCCTGGGCGTTGCCTGACTGCGAGCCAAAGAAGACGACGCAGTTCTTGTTGGTTTCTTCCAGCCGTTGCACGATGCATCGCGGATTGCTGTCTATGCTTTTGCCTTTGCCTTTGCCCTTGCCGTTTCCTGCGCCCGACGGTTGCAGCCCGAGCAACGACCGGAGAGAGAACGAAGCATTCTTGCTGCCCAGGAAGGCCAAGGTCGATAGCAGCGCAATGACTATCCAGGTGTAGGACAGCACGTCGACGTCGGCGTCGGGGACCTTGTGCACCAACTGGGAGCCGACGTCGACATTGATGTCGCCCATGACCGGGGGGTCACAGGTGGTACAATCGTTGAATGACATGACGGACAGAACAGTGGATGCAAGGGAGAGGCAGTAATGACGAGGCTGGCTCTATGATGGTGGTGGTAGTGGTCGGGATGGTCGCAGTCGTGAGCGTGGTCGTGGTCGTGGTCGTACTGTCGACATATGTACTGCTATGATGCAGTACTCTGTATGCATGATGCCTGCCGCCCATCATCATCACACCATGTTTGGTATTGACTGTTGACCATCGGACCATCCTCCATCGGCGATGCTGCATCGGCCTTCCTGGCCCTCCATCCTCCACATCAGCTCGTATACAACCCTCTTGATTCAGCGATATATACTCCGGCCCCCCAAACCCCGGACCCTCCTCCATTCTGTTAACTGCGCTAGTGGTGTTAGTGACGCTATACCTACTAGCGCGAGCAAAGTTACCCCTAGCTCCGTACTATAGTGCTAGTACTGACTAAACCACGACGCCACTAGACTGTGTGCCCTACGTCTCCTGCCTGCGCCCTGTGGGCCGGTCATCTCGGACAAATATCTCTGGCCCCTCCTCTGTCCTCTGTCTGCCGTCCTTGGGCCTCTACCAACCAGTCCCCCGCCTCACCCTGACCGACGTCCACTGTCCAATGCCCACTGTCCTTGTCCCTCTCCAGCCCCATGTACTCCGTACTCGTACTCCGTACAGATATCACAGGCCTGTGCGTCGCAGCAACTTCGGCCCATCTCCCCCCTGTCTCCAGCCTGCCCTCCCCTGCGGACTCCCCCAGTTTCTGCAACAATCTTGACAACAAACCGCCGGCGTCAGGCCTTTTCCTGCCTCGAACCACCCACTGGCCCGCCTGGCTGGGCTGGAGCTGGAGATCATGAGGCCGGGTGAACATGAAGGCTGGAAACCCTAGGGTTGTCCGTATCCATCCACGGTACACGGTACCACTATGACTAGTCTCCGACACGCGAGACCGAGACCGAGACCACGACCACTTCTTTCCATAATATTAATATGCGCAGCACTCTAACTCGAAGAAACAGAAGACTGATGACTTTGCAACACCCTTGAAATGTCCCTCTTAACTTGCAGCGGCCTGGGTCGTGGCCTCCAGAGCCTGCCCACCGCCACAGGCTCGTCCCTGCGTTCGCACCGCCTGGCAGCGAAATCCCACAGAGGCCTCGTCCGCTCCCTTCACACCCAGTACCTCCGCGATAGACGGGCCTTGGTCCCCTCCGTCGTCCAGAGCCGCAGCGCCGCTCGCACCGGCAACCACTTCGCACACGCCCTCGGTCCTGCGGCCGGCAGACTGAGCAATGGTTCCCTCCGCCGCTCGTATGCATCGGCCGCTGCTGAGATCGTCGACACCGAGTTCCTGGTGGTAGGCGCCGGGCCAGCAGGAGCAGGCCTGGCGTGTTTCCTGACGAGCCATGGTACGGTCACCAATCGTCCATCACGCTCCCACAGTTCCAGGGCTAACTCGGTGCAGGTCTGAAGGGAATCATGATCAGCACCGCCCCAGGGACAGCCAACACCCCCCGCGCGCACATCACCAACATGGCAGCATTAGGTGCGTTCAAACTCCTCCCGTTGGAATATCGGCTTGGGGCAAAGTAATAATTAGATCGGTTTAGAATGTTTAAGAGACATCGGACTTGACAAGGAACTGGAAGACCTTTCCTCCAAGGGTCACTGCATGATTCACACCCGTTGGTGCCACAGTATGGCAGGCGAGGAATATGCGCGCATCCACTCGTGGGGCAACGCACCGAACAGAAAGGTACGAACGCTGCCAGTGGTGTTGTCCTTGTTTCTTCTCTTGGACCTCTGACCGCTGACGCTCCTTTGACCTGTAGGGCGACTACGAACTCGCCAGCCCGTGTTCGCCGGTAGATCTGCCGCAGACGCTGCTCGAGCCTGCTCTGGTGCGCCATGCCATCTTGAACGGCTTCAAAACGCGATTCAACACCACCCTCAAATCGTTCGAAGAAGACCCAGACACCGGGCTGATCACAGTGCACGTGCACGACAACATCTCGAAGGTGGACTATTCCATCCGCACCAAGTACCTGTTCGGCGCCGATGGGGCACGCAGCCAGATCGTCAAACAGCTCGATCTCCCGCTGTCGGTCAAGCCCGGCCAAGGCATGGCCATCAACGTGCTAGTGAAGGCGGACCTGTCTCACCTGGTCGAGCACCGCCGCGGCAATCTGCACTGGGTCATGCAGCCCGACAAGGAACACCCGGCGTTCGGCTGGATGGGCATCGTGCGCATGGTGAAGCCTTGGAATGAGTGGATGTTCATCTTGTTTCCCACCCGAGACACCGACCCGCAAATCTCGCCGTCCAAGGAAGAATATCTGGCCCGCGTGCGCGACTTCATCGGGGACGACACCCCCGCCGAGATCATCGACGTGTCCAAGTGGTTCATCAACGAGATTGTGGCCGAGAAGTACTCTGAAAGGAACATGTAAGTCACCTTCGATGCTGCGTGGTTCCTCACCGTACTGACCCTTGTTCTCCTAGCTTCTGCCTTGGAGATGCGGTGCACCGACACCCTCCCATGAACGGTCTGGGATCCAACACCTGCATCCAAGACGCCTTCAACCTGGCATGGAAGGTGGCCTATGTACACAAGGGCCTGGCGCCACCATCGTTGCTGTCGAGTTACAGCATCGAGCGACAGCCCGTGGGCCGCTCCATCATCACGCGGGCCAACGACGGCTTCCGGGACCATTTCCACGTCTGGGAGTCCTTGGGTACACTGCCGGAGAACGTGGAGGACCGACGCAAAATCTTGGAGGAGCTGCAAGCCCCAACCGCTGCGGGTGTAGCCCGCCGCAAGAAGTTCCAGGAAGCCATCACGCGCACCTCGCACGAGTTCCACGGCCTGGGCATCGAGATGAACCAAGTATACGCCGGCCCAGGCATCTACACCGCCGACGAGCCTGAACCCTACAAACGACCTGGCCGCGCCGCAGAGGATGACGTGCTATACTACGAGCCCAGCACGTATCCCGGCAGCCGGCTGCCGCACGTCTGGCTGAACAAGACTGTACCCACCGACCCCATGTCGACCATCGACCTCGCTGGCCACGGCGCCTTCTCGCTATTCACGGGCATTGGAGGTGACCACTGGAAGCAAGCGGCGAAGCAACTGTCGGCCGAGTTGGGTGTGCCCATCAACGTGCATAGCATCGGTTTCCGACAGGAGTGGGAAGACGTCTATTTCGACTGGACGCGACTACGCGGCGTGGAGGAGTCGGGCGCAGTGTTGGTCCGACCCGATCGCTTTGTCGCCTGGAGAGCGCCAGAGGTGCTGGAGAGTGCTGGGGCCTGCGAGGCCAAACTGGGCCAGGTGCTACGCTCTGTGCTAGGCCACAAAACCACCTAAGTGTGAGTGCGATGTTCTAGTTGTTCAAGTATGGCGTTGGCTCCGAGTCAAGGTTGACCGAGCCCCGTGTTGCTTTCCTGGGCCGAATTGGGATACCATCTAGTAGTAAATACTGTATTACGTACACATACCTACTGAGTGCTCTGTACTATGCAAGGTTGCGGTGCTGTGTCCACGTCCACTGTCCAGTCACAGTGCAGCAGTAGTAATGGGTAGGAGCTGGGACCTGGAACCTCCTCCGTCGGTACTCTGTACTCCGTGGTACGAATTAGGGACACCAGCAATTGATTGTCCACGTGCCCTGTCCTGTTCTTAGTGGCCCGTGCCACGTAGCTAGCTGGCTGCAGCGGTAAAGATTTTCCTTCAAGTTTAGCTAAGGGACACGTACGGGTGCCGCATGACCATTCTTGACCATTCTTGACCATCCCTCGCTCGGCAGCTCCGGCAGTGCAGGCCTGGCTGAGCCAGCCTAGCCCGCCTAGTGAACCTAAACGGTCCTAGCCTCGCGGGTCCCCCAATCGCATCTTTCCCAGTTCTGCACTAGCACATCCTTCCCGCTCCACTTGATCCTGGTATTGGCCCGAAATTGCTCCGGGTGGGGAGTCTGGGGATGCGGAGAGCTGCGTGCGCCCAGTAGGCCAGTAGGCAGCTGGCACATTCCCACCGCCTAAGGGCCCCTAAGCCCCTCTAAGCCCCCTGCCTGGCACTGCAACCCTCCCTCCATTTTCCCCTCCAAACTCCAAACTCCAAACTCCAAACCCTGCACCTGGGTCGTGCTCCCGTTTTGCCTGCGCTTCTCCCCAGACTCGACTCGACCCTGCCCCGGCCTGGGTTTTGCCTCTCACAAAATCTGGCGATAGTGTTACACATCACACCATCATACCTTCTTATACAAATCCCCATTTCCATCCCCATTCTCACTCCGGGCATTCCTTCACCACCGGCGCAAGGACGCCCATACAAGACGCGACGTGCCAGTAGTGGCAGTCCCAGCAGGAATGTGGTCCACGGCCACGGCCAGCTCCGGTGGCCGCGAGAGTGGACGACAGGCCGAAATCGCCTGTTATTCGTGTCGGCGGTATGTTATGATCGCACCCCTGCCCCCCTTTTCCCCCTTCCGCTGCGGTGCATGACCTGATGATAAGCAATAGGCGAAAAGTCAAGTGGTCAGTCTCGATCATGGCCTCCCCGCCCGCGATGGGCATCTCTGATCGTCTCTGGCAGTGATCGCGGATTCCCTCAATGCACAGCATGCGAACAGTCGGAGCAGGACTGCAATTATCCCCTGCGCCCGTTGAAGCCGGGGCCCAAGATAGGTACGAATTGGATTTGCAAATGCCTGGTGAAGATGCAGTCGGTGCCACGGATATCGGGATCGGGATCCCTTTCTGGCCGTGCATCTAGCATCACTGCCGCTCCCGCTGCCACTGCCCAGGATGCTGTCGCTAACCTTGACCTTCTACGCAGGATCTTTACAGCGCCGGAGAAAGCGACCACGAGAACATCGTGAGCAACAGCCGACAGAAAAGGGGGTCTCTCCCGCCCACTCGTCCCACGAGAATGCCGAGACGGCGCAAGCCCAAGCCCAAGCCCAAACTCAAGTCCAGCCCCAAGCTCAAGCAGAGCCTGCACGTCCTACCACCAGCGTAGCCAGTGTCAGTGGCCGGTATGGCGATGAAAAAGAATCCTCCCCAACCACCCGGGACAGAGTCAGTCCGCGGGCGGCCATCACAACCAGTATCAGCACCAGCACCACCACGACTTCGTCTCAGACTGAATGGAACACCAGACGAGAGGCACCCATCAACATCCACGATCTGTCCTTTATTCTGCATCCCTCGCACGAAGTCTCCACGCCTGAAAAGGATCAGGCCAAGGCCTTCAGCAGTGCTGGCTCCGACCATGAACCCGGTCTCATGGCCAAGGTCTGCGCCGGTTTGGGGGTGGATCAATCGACCTTGGAAACAGCGTGAGTGACCCTCCCTGACTTCTGCCGGTGTCGGCCTAACCTCTCGCAGCGTGAAAGTGTATTTCGACAACATGGTGGCCGTGAGCCTGTTTCACGAACCCAGCTTTCGCGAAAAGATCCACGGAATCGCGTCTGCTCTGCACGTGCAGGCCTTGCTGGTGGCCATGCTGGCTTACGCGGCCCGGTTCTACCCGACCGAGACGGACGGCATGTCGACCTTGGGGGTCGGCGTCGGCGTCGGCATGGGCATGGGCGAACCCAATCTCCAGACGGGATATTTGCTGGATCTCGCCTTTAGCAGCATCGAGGGGGCGCTGAAGCAGTGCGGCGACGAAGCCCCTCCTCTGTGTATTTTACAGGCGCTCATCATCGCCACCCATTGTCAGCTCACCCAGGCCGTACGTGGAAAGGCGTGGCGGTCGCTGGGAACGTGCATCCGACTGGCGTATGAGCTGAATCTGCACCTGGTCGATGCCGAAGATGCCGTCAAAGACCCCCAAACCCTCGACGTGCAGCAATGGTGTGAGGACGAGGAGAAGCGGCGGGCGTGGTGGGCCATCTGGGAGATGGACGTCTTCGCCAGCACCATCCGACGCACCCCTCCGGCCGTGGATTGGTCACAAATGGAGACCCTGTTACCGGTGGAGGATCAAGACTGGTTCCAAAACCGACCGCGGCCCAGCTGCTTTATGGAGCGAGATCCCATCGGTCGGTGGAAGGTGCTGCAGGAATGCGGCAACCAGTCGACCAAGGCTTGGTTCTTGGTGGTGAACTCGCTCATGAAGGAGGCTCAGGTCATCTCCAGTCCCCGAAGTATCCCTCACCGAACCCCGCCCGAGCGAGGTCAACAGACTCGATCCAGCGGCGTCCACTACGGTGCCGGGGTCGGTGCCGGGCGCGCCAGAGACAGCGTGGACGAAGCGACCAAGAAACTAGAAGCGCTGGCCAACTCGGTGCATTGCTTTTCGTTGGCCTTGCCGGGTCATCTACAATACCGCAATCAATACCTCGGCTTTGATCCCCGCGCTCCGGGCCAGATGTTTTCTCCTCGCCAGCTGCACTGTGGCATCTACAACATCTACGTCATGACACAGCTGGCCCGGCTCATGATCTATCGGTACGACGTGTTTGGAGGTCGGAATCCCATTGCCCGCCGCACGCACGAACCCTCCAGTGGTGGCCCAACCGCCAACGCCGGCGTCGCCGCCGCCACTGGCAGAACCCGTCCGAACACGCCGCGGCCGATGGCCATGTCCATCTCGAACTCGAGTGGGTACGAGACGGAGAATCTGGCGCTCTCCCGCTACTTTGAGGCCACCGACAACATTCTGACCATTGTCAGCCGGAGTAGCGACGATCACATCCGACACATCAACCCCTTCCTGTCCAGCACGATTTGGCTGGCGTCCGCCGTGCAATTGCTCCGGATGGAGTTCTCGCGAGACGACATCAGCCGGACCTTGATCAAATCCAAGTTTGAAGTCCTGTACATGACCTACAAACGATGCGTCTCTTTCTGGGATGTCCACACCGCTCTGCAGGAGAACCTTGAAGCTCTACAGGCGCAACTGGAGGGACGCAAAAGTTCGGGGGTGGGTCCGGGGCAGGGCCAGGGTGTGGGCGTGAGTGTGGGTGTGGGGGTGGGTGTAGGTGTAGGTGTAGGTTCAGGCGTTCAAGACCGGGCCCGGAATTCCATCTCTCGGTCCACCACCAGCCATTACGCCGGCGGAGAGACTCAGGCGCGATTTGGACCGGCATCCTTTCCTATTGACGCGGATGCCGGACCTGACATGAGTCATGGTAAGTGATTACAGTCATGGTCCATGCTGGTTTCTATCTTGTTTACTACTGCTTGCTGACTCGTGTCTTCCAGAAAATACCATCATGCATGACGGCAACTGTGAATACAACAGTTCCGGCAGTCCACTACCACTACCGATGGCGTCTGCTGCCGCGCTGCAGTCGCCGCCGTCCAGCGTCAGCCACGCCTCCCTAGCGCACCACCAAGCCCGAGGCTCGCAGATGGCTCGACAGCAGCCGCTCCCTCCATTCCAACCCACCTCACACAGGTTATCGAATGCCACTGCGCCGGGCCAGATGCAGAATTCTCCATCCGCCATGTCGAATATGGCGTCGCTCGGCTACACGCATCTGCCAGCCCATGTAGACTGGCAGTCACAGTCGCTGACGGCAGATGACGCGGCGAATCCAACCCACAATCACAACCCCAACCCCAGCCCCCGGCCGGGACTGGTGGATGATTTGTTTTTGATGGATCAGGACCAAGCAGCCCGAGGCGGAGGTGGGGCTGGAGGTGTCCCGTACGCCACTGACGGCGTGGGCAACTTTGGACAGGACTGGCGAAACATCGATCTTCCGGACGACATTGCCGATTTGTTGTGGGGGGTATCAGCGTATTGATCCTGTTATGGTAGCGAGGAGTATGGTTGACCAGTCATGTGGACTGTCTTGGATATGATTACCGTGTATGAGTGGTGTGGTCTGTGGTTTGTGGTCTCTGGTCTGTGGTCTGGTCTGTGGTCTGGTCTGTGGTCTGGTCTATGGTCTGGTCTGTGGTCTGTTGTCAGGTCTGTGGTTTGAGGTCTGGTCTATTGTCTGTGGCACTTAGCGAGGGAGTCCGTTGGTCGGCAACGGCTGGAAGAAGTGACTTAGCAGGATGCTGGGAGCTGGAAGCTAGGATATTTTGTTTTGGATCATGTTGATAGGGACACTGACCACTCTGGCCACTCTGGCCACTTTGAGCCGTGACGGTCGAACTGGACACTGGATTGGACACTGGACATTGGATACTTCCAATCCAGGACATGGGAGGCTTTCAATATCGGACATGCAAGACGATCTCAAGTTGATATCAAGTCGTTTCGAAACTTCCAATTGTTCAGAAGTGACCAAGGTCAATCAACGTCAATTAAAACTAGTACTATTGAGTATGTCAGTTGAACTGTTGTCTGTCTCTGTTTTGATGTCTGTTCTGTTCTGTGAACATGGAACATGGAAGATTGTCTCTTCTGGATGACACCCACTCACTTGCTCACTCACTTTCTCACTTTCCCGCTTTCTCTCCTTGCTTCCTCTTCTTAGTTCCTTGCTTGGTTCCATGCTTGCTTGATTCCTTTGCTGAATTGGTTCCTTGATTCCATGCTTGCTTGACCACCGTCGTCTCCTGTTCATTCGGATTCAGCCTCCCTTCATATATTACCAACTGTCATCCGTTTCCCTGACTTTCCAGTTCTCTTTCCACGTTCACATTCTTTCTTCGTCTGTTTTCTTGTTTCTTTTCCTTCCCTCCTTCGTACTCTCTTTCTTGCCCTCTCTTCTTGCCCTCTCTTCTTGCCCTCTCTTCTTCCCTGTCTCCTCTATACTCTCTTTTCTCCCTACCCCTGGAAGCAACTACTTCCCTCAGTCGTCCTCGACCATGAACACAACCCCGGAAGCAACTGCTCCCACGAGTCGTCCACGACCATGACCCTCGGAAGCAACACTTCCCCTAACTCTGCCCACGACCCCCCGAAGCAATTACTTCCCTGACCACCACAACCCCCGAAGCAACGGCTTCCCTGACCACCACAACCCCCCAAATCACCCCTTAAGTCTGTTCACGACCCTTCCCCACAGGAATCAACCATTTCCCCCACCCCACCCCCTGTGGCCGCGACCCCAGCTTCCGCGCAACGAGCCTAGTCCGCGTCTTGTCCAGTCTGCCATTATGGGCGAGTGCCGCTGTGATGACGCCACACGCCCCAAAGGCAATACTGGTCAAATACACGACCTTGAACGAGTCGGCGAACGCGCCGCGGGCCGCCACCGAGGCCGTCTGGACCAGTGTCGGCGTCACTCCCGGCACGGTCGACAGAGACGCCGAGTCGCCGGCCAGGAGGAGCTGGAGGAAACTCTGGGCCGCTTGGGGCGTGAGTCCGCCTTTGATCAGGACGGGGACGACTTGGGAGAGGAGGTTTTTCTGGACTTTGCTGTTGAGCTGGGAGAGGTCAGTAGTGGACATGCAGTTAACTTTTTTTTTCTTTTCTTTTCTCTTGCCGTTTCTGCCGTTTTCGTCGACAGACGGACATTGAAGGGCATAATCAATTTCTTCTCTTTTTTCTTCTGTTTTCTTTTTTCTTCTGTTTTCTTTTTCTTTCCGTGTCCGTCGACAAACGAACATTGAAGGGTATTGGAATATCTGGATCGGGATCGGGATCAAACTTACAATGGTAGTATAGATGGCATCTAATATTGCGTCGAGGTTAGCTTCACAGAACACAACACAACATAGTAGATGGCCAGTTTCTTGTTCATCTTGACAGGGATGTAGATCTTGATGTAGATCTTGACAAGGATGTGAATGTGATGGATGTGATGAGATGTGATGAGATGTAGATGTTGATGTGATGTGATCTTGATCTTTATGTGTTGGACGTGATCTTGATCTTGATCTTGATCTTGATCTTGATCTTGTCTTGTGTGGATTGTAGATTGTGGATTGTGGATTGTAGATTGTAGATTGTGGAACTTACAAGCAATGGCCGTAGCAATCCTCCTCGCAGTCCACACCACCCCAGCAGCGACGCCATATTCCTTAAGATTGACGCCCGCAGTGGACACGGTGCCGACGATACACAGGACGTCGGTGATGCCGACGCCGGCGCCGGCGACCAGCCCGAAAACCAGCGACAGCGACAGCTGGGTCGACGTGTAGGCGGCGAGGGCGGGGCCGAAGGCCAGGACGAGAAGGGCGGCGATGACAAGTTGCGATTGGAGGATGGGGAATCCGGTGGCCATGACGCCGGCGATGATTTGGCCGAGGGCAGGGCCGGCGAAGATGATGTTCTGACCATGAGGTTAGTTTTCTTTCTTCTTTCTTACGTAGTCTTCTGGTAAGGGCGAGTTTTCTTTCTGGTGGTGGGAAGGGTCTTCTTTCTTCTTTTTTGTGGTGGTAGGAAGGGGATATAGAATGTCTTCTTTTTCTGGTGGTAGGAAGGACCACATAGAATGTCTCCTTTTCTGGTGCTAGGAGTCTTCTTTTTTGTGGTGGTAGGAAGGATATGGAATGTCTTCTTTCTTGTGGTGGGAAGGATGTAGAATGTCTTCCTTTTTCTGGTGGAAGGACAACATAGAACATGTAATGCCCCCCCTCCGGTAGAAAACTGTATTTGTACTTACATAGTACCATCCAGCCAACAACGCATCACCGCCGAAAATTGTCACGATCTGCTGGTTCCACAGCATCGAGGGGGCCTGCCAGGCCATGGAGACGAACGAAATCGTCAGCGTCAGCGTCACGTAGTTTCGCTTGGCGAGTAGTGGTAGCACTTGGGAAGTGTAGTGGGACCGAGTTAGGAATTCTGCACAGTATGAGTGTTAGTATCGGTATCGGTATTAAGTTGGGATCATCAATCAGTATTGAATTGGGTCAGCATTGCATTGCATTCTGCAAGACGACAGAGGAAATCGTTCAGGCATTGCAAGACGAGACAAGAAATCGTCAAGTCAAACAATCAAACGTACCCCAAACCAAGGCCACGATCCAGCCAACGCCTCCCACCACAATAGGCACAATGGTCCTCGCAGAACGCCATGCTAGTTGAAAAGTTAATCAGCGATACAAGATCTTGACAGGACTTCACTCACGATATCTCTGGCCTCCGAGATAGATGCCCAGCAGGAAAGAGACGGTACTGCCGGTCCAGACCACGGTGCCTATCCAGTCGGTCTTGGTGGCCACTTCTCTCTTCGCGGCAGGATGCGTGTCGGAGATGGGTTGGGGATGGTACAGAACCAGGGTGAAGACAAGGCTGACGAACGAGGTGATGAATGCAAAGTAGGCGATCCAGCGCCACGAATCTTCGGCCGTGGCGACGAATGTGAAGACTGGGAGGTAGAGGTGGAGGTGTCAGTGTCACTTTCAAGTTTCAATGTGGTTTTTGGCAGTCGCCGTGAGGATATCAAGAAAGCTCACCTATTCCCGCTGCAATGGCGAGGATGGGTCCCCAAGCCGACAGAATATACGCGTACGTCAGGTATCGTCGATTGAAGGGTACCAGCTCCAACGCGAACATGATGGTGAGCAATTGGACTCCGGCGCCGAGTCCGAAGAGGAAAGACTGGGGAGATGTTAGTGATGGATGAGCCATATCAAAGGAAGAGAAGAGGGATCGGATCAAACACGCACTCCACCAATATTGACAGACGTGTTGTATGCTCGTGCCGCCACCATGTAGCCGATCATGGACAGGATGTTTCCGAAAACCACAAACCACCGTCGACCAAACGAGTCGGATAGGCGGCCGACGACGAAGAGGGCCACACATTGGCCGATGGTGTTGGAGGCAGGAATGAAGACGGAATCGGGGGTGGTTCCTGTATTACATATCAGCATTAGGAGAGCTCATGAACGGAGAGGTGAGAGAGGGGTGTGTATATATGGACAAGTATGAGATACAAGAGGGTATCTCTGTATGCGTCTGTGTATGATTTGTAGGTGTCGGTGTCGGTGTCGGTGTATGTGTATCAGAGAAACTTACCAAAAGTCTGCTCAAGCACCGGCAGCCCGACAGATACCAGCAGGGGCGCCGCAAACACGGCCAGGTAAGAGAAGGTGATGCCCTGGACCGGGGTTAGTCAACCGACAGACGCAATATGACAGAATCAGACTCAGATTCTGGTCGTCAGGACACGTACGAATAAGGTGGCAAACAGAGGAATACTCTCGAAGAAGTCTCTGTGTAGAGCATCCTCGGGGACTTCTCTGGTGGTGCCGTTGCCGTTGCCGTTGCCATTGACAATGCCGTTACCAATGCCGTTGTTGCCATTCTGCACTGAACTTCCCCTTCCCTCGGAAGAGTCGAAGTGTAGCGCCGAGATCTCCTCGTTCTTCTCTTGCAGCGTCATGTTGTGTTGGTTATTGGAACGGAGTGATGTAGTATGGTATGTCGAGGTTGGTGTTGGTGTTGGAAGGTATAGGGTATACTTGACCCTGGATGGAGGAGGAGGACGAGATATCCTCTATGTAGTAAGAGATAGAGATCTCCTGTAGCAACAAAGAACAAGAAAGATCTCCTGCGCCCGAATGAATAGAGCTAGAGAGGAGAGCTGGCTCCTATAAGGGATGAGATGAGATGTGATATGATATGATGTGATGTGGTACAGTATGATTGATATCCGCCCCAACCGAGTTTGTCACAACTTACAATCCCAGGTTCAGGTTCAGGCTCAGGTCCAGGACAACATGGGCTCGCTGCACGGTCTATATACCATATACCAGTAAGACCCCATATATCTTATACCGCATCTGCCTCGAGAAAAGTCCGGGGAATCAGGGGCCAGGGTGAGGCAGGGGAGGAGAAGACAGGGCAGGGCAGCTCACCCACCGCCCTCCGCCCTCGACCTCCACCCCCATCTCCATTCCCAGCTTCATCTCCCTCTTTCTTTCTGCAGCCGGTGCAGCCGATATGAGACGCGCCGATTAATGGGCCGATGTTTGTCGTGGCTGTCAGTGTCTTGTATACTACGCACACTAGCAGCATCCGTACTAGCACTATTAGTACTAGCACTGGCATGAGGCCTTTGATTGATTCGGTATCGTGCTTCCAATATGGATCTTGTCAAATCCAAATTCGGTCAGCCTTGACTCGGCTAGGTCTAGTCGATCGCCCGGTCCGTGGACGTCCCCCCTCCCCCCAGTCCGGGGTGACCCTGCTGACCCCGTTTCTTCTTCGTCTTCCCCGGGATCGAGTCAGTCAGTACGTGCTACAGTCACGCCTCCAGTAGGCTCTTTTCTACTGGCTCTGACTGATCACGCACGTCTAATGGTTCCTGACCTCACACACATCTGATTGGCCTTGACGGTTTAGTCCAGATACTAGGGCTAGGTTAGGGCTCGTCCTTGAAGCCCTTGGGCTTAAGGAGCCTTGGGCTTTCTTTTCCAGGTTACCCCGGGAACCCGCACATCGATGTGCTGTCCGGCTTAATTGGAGAGAGAAGTTCCGTGCCCGGGATCGACATACTAGTCCTGCGTACTGCGGTAGATTCCATCGCCTTGCCCTCGTCCTCGCCCCGGATCCCCACGGGGACGCACTCCAGTCACGTCCAGTCGAGTCCAGTCGAGTCAGTTTCTGGTTGCGCCAGAGTCGAGAGTCTTTATGCAAGGAAGGTGGTGTACTTGTGGTATCAATACCAACTTCAACGGTGCCTCGGCGGTGAAAGAGAGGGTGTATACTCCATGAAGAGGTGTTTTTATCACCAATGTATGTTGATGAGGCATAGTGTCAGTGGACTACCGAGATTTGGTGTCGAATTTGGTCGATCCAGTGACTGTGAGTGATCTGACTAGAAGACGAATATGGGGACAAATCCCACACTCACATCCACCATTGCTTGCTTCTTCATGTCGTAGCTCCGATCCCTTCCTACAGGCTCAATATCAATGTAACTCTCCCAGTCCGAGTCTGATTCTCACCTCGAGCTGGAACTGATTCATTCGATGACTGTGGGCAGTCCACTCATGGCCCCCTTTCTTTTCCAATTGAGGAGTTTAAGCTTACGTAAAAATGCCTCCAGGTCTGAAAGGGATCGACATTCGACATGCACCTGGAGTGGAAAGACTACTGATGTGATGGTGTCAAGGACGGATACAGAGTAGTTCTTTCGGAGGGCAACAGATGGCTTGTGGGTGTGAGGAGAGATTTCTCGGCGTGATATGAGAGATGTTCCAGAAACAAACACAACATCCCTACCCCCAACTCAACGACGAGTCAAGTGACAGTAAGTACTCTGTACAGTGACAAACAGTTCGGTTTAGTCTGTCCCCCTTGTGGGATTATAGCTGCACGGTTGAATTCCCCCTTGCCATTGCTCGTTCGTCCCTTCGTCAGCCGGCTCTTATAGGATTCACTCTCTCTCCTGTTATATTTATCCTCGAACAGGAAGGGCTTGACTAGGGCGGGTTAACAGCATCCGTTTACCTTAGCTATCGTGTCTAGACTCCATCGTTTCTCAGATGGTAAGATGGAGAGGATCAGTATCCGTACGAATTGTTTGCAAAGACAAGGACCAAGACAAAGACAAAGCTGAGGAGAAGTTGCGGTGGTTGTGGCTGTCCCCCGGCCCCCATCCCCCATCCCCCATCCCCCGCCAATCGATCGATCGATCATCCGCACCAACAACGACTGGGACTGTCCGGAGTATGGAGTCTGGAGAACGGAGGACGGAGGACGGAGTACTGCGCGGTGTGGCCTGGAGGAACCCCGAGTTTCTTCCTAGGCACTGTACAGAATGGCGCCGAAGTGAGTCCGTCGAGATGGGCCTACAGAGTGGTACAGAGTGAGGATCGAGTAGTAGTATAGCACGGCCAGATAGTAGATACACCATTATTAATTAATTATCTGTGTAATACTCTATGAGACTCTAGAGTGGTGGTGGTAGTGGTAGCACACCTCAATGAGCACCATTTACCAGTATTGTACAGAATAGGGATCCGTCTTGTCCAGTACTGGTTCCGACGCTGAGCGTGTCCTGCCTCGCTCACTCTCACTCACTTTCTCGCTGGCGACTAATCCATACATAAATACCCTATGTACCTAAGTACCTACCTACCTGACAGGTACGAGGTACCGGGTAGGGTTTCACATCCCATGTGCTGTGTACTCCGTATAGTACAGGGTTTATATGCTGTACTGAACTGTACTGTAATGTAGCAATTTTGTAGTGCAGATACTTCTAGAACGGCCGTCGGTGCAGTTGCAGCCGGTTGGCTCATATTTGACCCGAGGGTTTCTGGGTCCCCAACATACGGCTCCCTTGAGTAGGCTCTGTAATACTCCGTACTCTGTATCCGTACTCTGTCATCAACTCGGGTCCTCTCTCTGTCCCGTATTCCAGATATACGGAAATATATCTGAAATATACCTAAGGTACCTTATCTGTCTGTACGGAAACCGTTCACCTACAGTGCTCCGTACCTAGAGACGAATGCTCCGTCAGCCATTTCCCGGCCTTTCGCTCGCACCCCTCAACCCCGCCGGACTTTCCGGACCGCGGACGATCGTTGTGCCATGGCCGTGTTTTGCTTGTGCCTTCACGGCAGCCACGGCTACCACTGTCATCTCATCCTCGGTTCGGCGTGGGGTAGTACTGGACACTGGACTGGACACTGGACTGGACACTGGACACTGGACACTGGACACTGGACACTGGACACTGGACACTGGACACTGGACACTGGACACTGGACACTGGACACTGGACACTGGACTGGACACACATGTCTGTTAGGTTCAGGTAGGTATAGTCCCTTAGTGTACCTGTACCTGTACCAATACCAGTATCTGTACCAGTAGTACACTACGTACAGTACAGTACGTCTGAGACACCTCCGCCCCGCCATAAGAATGAGCCCGAGAATGAGACGGTCTCTCTGTATGTAGCCACTGTAGCCACTGTACCTGCTGTGCATAGTATCTGCACGTAGTATCTGTACAGATTCTCTCGCTGTGTGTATGTGTAAGTGGGACTGCAGCGAGCCTTGTTGCGTCGGACTAGACTGACTGACTATACCGTTCGAAGAGTCTTGACTCTCACTCTCACTCTCTGCAGTAAACCCCTTCCACCCACCACCCTTACCTAACCACCTGCAACAACTCACAACCAACTCAAACCAACCAACCAGCCATCCTGCCAGCCCGCATCATCCAACATCAACCCAAACCAACATTCTTGATTCCAGCATCGACCCAAACCCAAACCCACACCAGCCAACGACCATTGATTCTCGCCTTTTGTGAAAATGCAAGGCAAGGTTTTCGCCATCACCGGTGCCGGGTCAGGCATTGGTCAAGCCACGGCGCTGAGGCTCGCGGAACTGGGGGTGCAAGGCCTCGCGCTCAGCGATGTGAACCAGGCAGGTCTGGAAGAGACTAAATCATTGTGTATGTATTGACGGAGAGTCTTGTCAGAGGCTCTGGTGGCCTGTGTTTCCTAATTTGTCAGAGCTCTGGTGTCTTGTGTTTCTTATTTTGTCAGAGGCACTCTGGTGTCTTGGTTTCCCATTCAGTGCCAGTCTCAGGGTTGTCTGGTGTCTAAGACAGTCTTTCCGCTCAGTCACAGTCCCAGTCCCAGCCCAGTCCCAGCCCAGTCCCATTTTCAGTCTCAGTCTCAGTCTCATTCTCAGTCCCAGTCTTGTCTCAGTTTCTATCTTGTCCCATTCTCAATTTTATTCTAACCCATCTCAGTGGCCAAATACCAGACCCGAGTCACGCTCAAAAAAGTCGACGTCAGCAATGTCGAGCAGGTCGACGCGTGGATCCGTGAGACGGTCCAAGAACACGGCAAGATCGACGGCGCCGCCAATGTCGCAGGCATTGCTACCGGCAACGGCCAGATAACCGAGAGTATTGTAAGTGAGAGTGACAACACCACCTTTGGCCTGAATCGGCTTTGCACTCCCAACCCCCAATCCAATACTTCACCAATACTTGAGTCGCCTTTACACTCCCCTAATCCAATACTTCAATACTCGTGGAGCACCCCTAATCTAATACTTCAATACTCGTGGAGCACCCCCAGTCTAATGCTTCAATACGCCTAGACCACTAACCATCACACCACATAGGACCAATCCGCCTGGGACAAGATGATTGCCGTCAACCTGACCGGCGTGATGAACTGTATGCGCGCGCAACTGCAGCACATCTCCCGACCTGGCGGGTCGATCGTCAACGTGTCCAGCACGTCGGGTCTGCGCGGGCTGGCCAACAACGCCGCCTACGCCTCTAGCAAGTTTGGCGTCATCGGGCTTACTGAGTCGGCGGCGGCCGAGTATGGCAAGAAGGGGGTGCGGATCAATGCCTTGCTACCGTGAGTGGTCTTTGTTTCTGTTCCTTGCCATTGCGTTACTGTTGCGTTGGTGTTGGTGTTGCTGGTGTTGTTAGTGTTGTTAGTACTATTACTAGTACTATCACTATTACTTGCTGTTGCGTTGGTGTTGCTGTTGCGTTGGTGTTGCGTTGCATTGGTGTTGCGTTGCGTTGGTGTTGCGTTGCGTTGGTGTTGGGTTGTTGTTGGTGATGGTGTTGCTGTTGCTGTTGCTGTTGTTAGTACTATTACTAGTACTATTATGTTGCTTGCTTTCGGTGTCGGTGTCGGAGTCGGTGTTGCGTTGCTGTTACTGTTGCTGTTGCGTTGCCGTTAGTAGTACTATTACTAGTACTATTGCTCTTGCTTGCGGTTGTTAGTACTATCACTGTTGCTTGATGTTGCTCCTGTTGCTTCTGTTGCTTCTGTTGCTTGCTATTACTTTCTGCCTCTACTGTCTCCTATCTCTAACTAATATCAAACAGCGGTCCCATCGATACCAAAATCTTCCGTGAAGGCGAGGCCAAAGGTCTATTCAACGAAGAGATCATCAGCGGCGGAACCCTGATGGCGCGCATGGGCAAGGCCGAAGAAGTGGCCAAGGTCTTGGTCTTTCTTTTGAGTGATGATGCGTCCTATGTGACTGGTGGTGAGTTCTCTACCTTCTCCTGATCACCTGATGTTGTTTCGTTTCTACCGTTTGCTATCACCATCTACCATCTACCTAAGCACTGAAAACTGAGCTCGGTGACTGATCACTGGTGACTGATCTCGGTGCCTGATCTCCGTGACTATCACTGGTGACTACCGCCGAGGACTGATCGGCGAGGCCTATGGCTTGAAACCTGAAACCTGAAAAACTGAAAACTGACTTCTCTCTCTACACTTCTAGCTCACTGGACCGTCGATGGAGGCTATTCGGCCTGCGGCTTCTACCGCGCCGGATGAGAGTAGGACGAGTAGGACGAAAGCTGTAGCTCAAGCCAAGGCTGAGGCCGAGGCTCAGGTCAGGCTCAGTGCCAGGCTCACGCTCACGCTCACGGTCTCCTAAGGGCACAGACAGGGGAGCAGGATGATATATATGATATATATGATATATAAAATGCTCACATGCTGTTGAATAGTATTGCACTTATGGTTGTGGTCCGTTCGCTCTCTTAGTCAACTCAACCAAGTCAAGCAAGTCAAGTCGAGCAAGTCAAGTCGAGCAAGTCAAGTCGAGCAAGTCAAGTCGAGCAAGTCAAGTCGAGCAAGTCAAGTCGCCGTGTGATGTGTTGTAGGTGGTTAGGCGTTGTGTCGTGTCAGAGAGACACCTTTGTTGATCGACACGACACAGTACCGTCCTGGTCTGTCATGGCACACAGGCACAAACACTGCCACGGTCATGAATAGGAATACAGACGCTACCTATTAGCTTACATGCATTGGCTTACTTGCAAGAATTCGCCTCATAGACTAGGACATGCAGATTCGTCTCAGATAGATGATGCCATGTAACAAATACTTCTCCTCAGATCGGTCGGCCCAGCAATCATCTATAGTCTACTATCACTCATAACCATAAGTACTATAGTCTACTATCACTCGTAATCCTAAGTGCCATACACATCACCCCAAGACATCACTGTAGGAATGTAGGTGGAAGATCCGGGCCTGAACAAATACACAGTTAGCTTCCAATCTCTCCTGTACGGTAGAACAAGGCTTCATTAAGATCAAGGCCAAGGCTGGCCGGCCAGCACTCACCCCAAACATGTAGGTTGTCATGCGAGGCCACAGACACAATGGTCTCTTGTGTGTCGTCGCACAGGTCTCCGTCTACATAATGCTCCAGGATGAAGCGAGAGGGGTCAAACCTGTGATAGGTGTCAGTGTCAGTTTCCATCTCAGCAACCAGCGAAGCAAAAAGCGTCAAGAAGAGGTACAGTGGTGGTGGTGGTGGTGCAGTACACGAGGAAGGGACGGGCTTAGGGTGACCCCTGCAGTGCTGGTTGGACGGTCTTACCAGTAGTCGAAAATTTGACTGCCCATAACATGTCTTCCCACGCCCCAACAATTCTCGTATCCTTTGTGCCGGAGCCAGTCGTGTCCTAGCACTTGGGTGTCGAAGTCGTGCGTCTCAAAAGACGAATGATGCACGTGCGACTTGGGTCCTTCGAAGAAGAAGAAGCAGTGATGATCAACTAGCTCCTTGCCACGGGCGAGACGGTTGAATACGATCACGTTCTTGCCGTCAGGGGTGTGTCCCAGCTGTGAAGAGAGTCAGATTTAGACTCAATGACAACAATGGTAGTAAACTCAATGACAACGATGGCAGTAATGGCAGACACTTACATCGCTTGGATAAAAGTTGAATCGACTAGTATAGAATTCGAATGTCTTGTCGAAATTTGTCACGCACATGCCGAAATGGCCCAATTTGTGCACCGGAGCCGGACCTGGAGAGATAGAAGTAAGTGTCATGCCAGCGAGGGGAGTGTACACGAGTGTGGGCAAGGTGAGTGTACACGAGTCTCAGCGAGGTGAGTGTACGGAGTACAGGAGTGAGTGTGGGCGTTTAGAGTGAGTATCAACGACCAAGTACCAACAAACTTACCTTTCTCAAATCGTTGATACCGTCCCGCTGGTCGTTGCTTGTGTGCCGGCTAAGTGTCTCGCATTAGCTCTGCGGTCGACAACATGATTGCTGGTAGTAGTATGGTAGGCACACTCACAAAATTGAATTGAAGCTCCGGCAACAGCTGCTCATCAGTCAATGGCGTCTGTCCATAGACCAGGTGGAAAGGAAACCCGTCCACCGGATCATGGAAGGTTACGCAACGACCGCCACCGGGCGCATCCAACTCGTAGATCTTCGATGCACCCGGCAAAGTCTGCTGAGCTAGTTCGAGGTCCTGTTCGGTTTCGACCACGAAGGCAGCGCCGCCAAATTCATCCTTGGGCCCTTCTTGGGCGCAGTAGACAAAAGGCTCCCTACCGTAGCCGCGGTAGTAGGTCTTGCTGCCGGAGCGTTGAGATTCGATGAATCCAAAGTCGGCGAGGAATTCACGGGCTTTTTCGATGTTTTGATGCGTGTAGTAGACGTGGGCGATGCGGACGAGATTGATTTTGGCGGGTTCGTTGGAGCCCATGGTGACAAGACTGTAACTGTACAGAGTAAATACCTAAGGCAAGGTTGGTGACAAACGGTGGCGGGACAAGACTGACTGTACAGAGTAGGTATCTAAGGGACAAGACTGTGATTGTACAGAGTAGGTAGGTACCTCAGGCAAGGGTGGTTGGTAGGCAGGTAGATAAGGATCAGGATTTGATCTTGATCTCTCGTGTCCGGATACTTGTAACGTCAATGACAATAGAAAAGAATCAATGTCTGCTCAAAGTATCCGTACACAATAACTCTTCAAGGCTGGCGGCAACACCGACACCGACTGCGGCACGGATACCGACACCCACGACTATGCACATATTGTATCCCACCGCATACGTGTGGCCTCCCCGCAAGAATCTTGACTGGGGTCGGCCTGTAGGCAGCTGGCACCGGTGGCGGCGGTGGTGGGCGGTGGTGAGCGGCGGCGGACCATCTTCGCATCAACTTGGGTGAGTTGGGGACGGTGTTTGGTCTGTGGTCTGGGGGCCAGGCCGAGGTGCGGTGGACGGTGGACGGTGGATGGTGCATGCGGGACGGAGACCTGGTGGCGGCATCGTGGCCACACCAGCTTCGACTTCGATGAGAAGAGCTGCGATGAGCTGGGGCCAGTGGTAATGAATAATAGTACGTAGCAAATTGCAGGTACTGTGGCAGTGCCAGTTACCAGTGGACGAATTGAACTGAACTGAACTGAACTGAACTGAATTGAACTGGGTGAACTGCCTGTAGAGTACTGCCTGTACTAAGCGTAAGGTATGTACTGTAAGCCGTGCCTAAGGATCCCGTGCCCGTGCCCGTGACCGCAGGACGACCGCACGTCGGACGGACACAGGACAGAGTACCTCGTAGGTGCCTCGGATGTACATACAGTGTAGCAGAGGCCCTGCAAGCGAATTACTACACCTGGACGGAGTAATACACCACCATCACCATCACCATCATGATTCTAGATACCTAGGTACCTACAGAGTAGTTACATGAGATACCTAGGTACCTAGTACCTAAGGTCTAGGTAGGCACAGTACAAAATACGGAGTACGGAGTACCCTGTAGATATGGTACGGATATACTAGGATCCTCGACCATCGGCAAGTTTCACCTCTCACCTCTCACCTCTCACTTCTGGCGGGGAGATACAGAGTAGAGAGTAAAGTCGGCAAGCCCCACGACGGGCCGGCACACGGTGGATGGTGACATGGAGCAGAGTTGGAGGGGGTCATGCAACTACCTATGTAAGGTACCTGTGCCTGTGCCTGTGCCTGTGCCTGTGCCTGTGTCTGTGTCTTGTCGACGCGAAGACAGAATCATGAGACTGGCTGCTTGGGATCCCGAATGAATGAATCCTCACCAGATCACCCCGACCCCGACCCGTGTCGCACTGTTTGAGCTCCATGCTCCTGTCCATCTCTCTCGAACAATGCAATCGCATCGCGGTAAATCCCCCCTCCACCTACTGAACAGACTACGGAGTAGGTCCAGTTGCAAAGACCCAGCCCCATACCCTTCCCCCATCAATGACCCTCTTCAATCTGCACAATCTTGTCACAGTTGAGCAGCCCCAGAGGATCGAACGCTTGCTTGAGCTGCACCCCAGGTTAGCATGGGTACAAGGGGTTCATCTTCTGACCTCAAGGCCTCTCCCAGGTCGCTGTCGCTCCCTGGGATAGGGCCATCAGGCTCATGCACATGTCACTCACCTTCCGCATCGCGTCCACCGTCTCATCCCCCAGCTCTTCCCGAATAGACTCGCGCTTCTTCAATCCAACTCCGTGCTCTCCGGTAACGGTCCCATCCATTTCAATGGCGCGACGAATCATGCGGTGCACCACATCTTCCGCAACCTGCTTCTCCGCATTGTTGTAAAGTAGAATCGCTGTTTAGCCCTTAGTGTCCGCCCGGAAGCAAAGCCTGCGTCGTACTTACTGTGGAAGTTGCCGTCGCCGACATGGCCGCAAATGCCCCCAATCAACCCACTGCTGGCCACGTCGTCCCGAGTCTGTTGGATGATGTCCGCGAGTCTGCTGATGGGGACCGCCTACACGGTGTCAGTACAATGTCGCAAACCTGGCACCAACAAGCTTACCACATCGGTGGTCCAAACATGGTCGTTTTGGTCTCGTCGCATCGCCATCACGCTCCACAGCGCTTCTTTCCGCGCACTCCAAAGTTCCAAAGCCTCTTGGTCATTTTTCGCAAACTCAAAGCTTTGGTTTTGGCTGCTCTTGGCCATCTTCTGCACAATGCGAATCTGTTCCTTGATCCCCTCGGCCGTGCCGGCAAACTTGAAAAACAGGGTCGGCGCTTCTTGCCATTGTCTGCTCGTCGTCCCGCTCTTGTTGATACATCGCATCTGAACGTCGTCCAGGATTTCCATGCCTGCCAGTTGGATCCCCTCCCCAACCACTTTCGCCACACACTCGGCCGCTGCGTGGATGGAAGGGAACGTGGCAACCGCCACCGACTGCCGTTTAGGAAGCACCGTCACTTTCAACGTTGCTTCCGTCACAATGCCAAGGGTGCCCTCGCTGCCGATGAACACTTGAGTCAAGTTATAGCCCGCGCTGGACTTCCGAGGCCTCCGCCGTGTTTTGATCACCGTACCATCCGCAAGAACCACCGTGAGAGAAATGACCCATTCGCGCATCGTGCCGTATCTGTAGGCGTTGGTGCCCGAGCAGCCCGTCCCAACCATGCCACCAATTTTCGCACCTGGGCCGGGGTCCGGCGGGAAGAACATGCCGGACTCGCGAAGATATTCGTTGAGATCTTCCCAGCCCAGCGCCGGTTGTACAATCACATCCAAATCTTCCGGATGGAAGTCCAAGATCTTGTCCATTCTTCCCACGTCGATGCAGATCCCTCCTCTAGTGGGCGCAAAGTGTCCCTCCAGACTGGTGCCGCCGGAGAGCGCGGTCACGGGGATCTTTCGTTTGTGACACACCTGCATGATCTTAGACACCTCCTCCGTTGTAGCCGGATACACCACTGCAAACGGTCTTTCGTCAGGCTTGGTCGTGTAGGACGACCATTCCGAGCCCGAATGCGCCGTGAGGTCGTCCGGTACGGTCGAGACATTATCCTTGCCCACGATCTGGGCAAAGTCCACCCAGGCAGCTTGGAGGACCGACTGCCGAGTGTCGTGTTGAGGCGGATGTGCGCGGGAGAGGGGAGTGGTCGACGAAGTGTCCAGGGCTTTTTCGCCTCGGGTTCCGAGCCAGTAGGCGGCACCGGCGACGGATAGAATGACTTTGCACGTCAGCGGCCATCAGCAGAGAGACGCACACGACTTACCAACGCTCAGTGCAAACGTCCTTCCTTCTGCAGCTCGGCGGCTCCGGGTGGCTTGGATGTATCGTGCTTCAGAGGCTCGTTCACGCTTGAGCCGGTCGGCGGTGCTTTCGTAGAGCTGGCCCCTGAAGGACAGGCTGTCCTGTCCCGGGTTCGAGTTCTTGTTCTTTTCTTGCCATCTTGTCGTCGAGATGTGGAATTTTCGGGCGGTGCAGGTACAGACTTGTTGGCGCTCGAGGTCTCGAATGAAAGCGGTGGCCGGCCGGGCGCACCTCAGCATTTGCTTCATTGTGTTTGTGTTTGTGGCGAGAGGGCGAGACTATGTGTACGACGGCGCGCTGACATTCCTGCCTTTGCACGCACGTCTGTGGGAGGGAGTGTTGCAGACTGATATAACCAAGTAAAGGTACAGAGTACGGATATTGATTGATTACATGGATGGTCGGAACTGCGCTTAACCTTCTCCGCATCCCACTTCGAGTCTAGTTTGCTCGTTCGGAAGGCTCAGGCTCGCTTCATATGAGAACTCTGAGTACTCCGTACAGTAGTGAGCGATAACAATGTGTGCCACTCGCACAATCAATGTCTATCGACTACGTATGTATGTCTGTATGATTGTATGCCGAACCCGTCCCTACCGCATCTCCCAAGCTCGCGCAGAAAGTGCTCCTATCCTGGATACCCAGGTGCAGTAGATTTTACCCAGTATCGGCCCCTTCACGCTCGCGGCATCACCGGCATGCTCTCACTCTCAGCTCTCAGCTCTCAGCTCTCCTCGCTCTCGTGCTGGCTTCTAAGCCACCAGTTGACAGCGCTGGCTTCCCTCGGCCATCACGGCTAGCCAGTTTGGAGCAGCAAGAGAGACTGTAGAGTTGTCAGGCAACCTGTCATGAGCGAAGCTATCGTCGCTTGTTGTCCGGAGTCGAGTGGGCACTGGCCGCCATGTCATGGTAGTGCTAATGATAGTGCTAATGATGAAGGGTGCCTCAGCTGTGTACCAGATGTCTCCTATGACAAGCCGTGCTCCAAGTCTTCTGCGCAGCCACACTCGGGTGGTTTCATGCTTCACAAATTGGCCGGGCGGTGAAATCAACCATGCCTATGAGAGGCTGGTACACCTGGAGGAAGCTGGGCTCTTTCCTGGATCAAGATTCAATGGGAAACGGATCGTATGGCCGCGATTCCGCTGGCTTCTCCCCGAATTAATCCCAGAGGTTCTCGATCACCATCTTGCCGCCCTCGTCTGCCTTGTCGTCTCTCGCATCATCTTCCTCCTTGGTGGCTTCATCTTCCTGTTCATCCTCGTCCTTTTCGCCTTGTGCTCTCCCTTTGAAAGGAGCACCCACCGCTATCGAATAGTTCTGCGCAGCTTCCACCGAGCAGGCAATAACATCCTTGGCCACGGCCGACCATCGCAAATCCCAAATCACCTCCCCATCCTGGGACGTGTCCCGCTGAAGAGTGGCGCCAAGATACGGCAAGTGTTTGAGGAGCTTGTACACCCCGTGTAACCGCAAGATTTGCACGGTGGAGTCGGCAACTGAGAACGAGATGGTCATCTCATCTTTGCGGCTGGAATGATCCCACTTAGCAATGCTGTTGGTAATCAGGATGTGCCCTTCCCCACAAGGGTCCGAAAGACCCGCGGGTGGGATGGCAGCGTCTCCAAAATCGATTGAATCCGACAAGAAATTCAGGTAAAAGTCGTCACCGTACGCAGTGAGGACCAGTAGCTCTGGTCGGTACATCGCGACCGACTTGCAGCCCACGTCAATATGCGACCTAGGAAACCCGACATATGCATGTGCTCCAGATTTCGACTTGAGCGGCATAGGTACCAGATTCGTGCCTCCGCTTATGCGTCCGTGGTCGTCATGATGGGTTCCTGCCAATCCCTCGGTGGTCTGCTGTTCGTACACAATGTCACACCAACCGTTGCCGACATGACACTTGAGGATGGTCAGCGGACCGAAACTGTGGATGAAATGGATGTACCGGCTCGGCCATTTCGTCTGTCCTGACTTGGTTGTTTCCTGCTCTTTATGAAAGAAAGGTGCCCAGTTTTTCTCCGCTGGCGCTCTCTCTTTCTGTCCTGTGATACTCAAGATGGTGGTGACATTGGAAAATGGTTGGAAAATGTACATTGCCCGGATCATCGTCTTCAGGTCGCTGAGCATGTTGAACACCACAATGGGCTCGGCATCTTCAACGCCCTGCTCGATGATGATTCGAGGGTCTTCTGGCCCGTAGAAGCCTCCGCCGACTTCGTAGGGTGCTGGCACATTGAACACGGTGGGAAACACGATATCGGCGCCGCGCCATGAGATGGTATAGTTCTTCAACTCGTTCCACTCCTCGTCATAGAGCTGGCCCCGGAGAAAGCTGATGGCTGGCCAATGCTTGACCCCTTTGTCGTAGAATATAACCCTCGTGATGCTCAGGAACACCTGGTATTTCTCTAGCCAAACACTGGACCCAGCCAACCTCGCCCACGTGTGGGCCACCTTTTCTTCAAACGTCCAACTACTGTCCTGCCCAGAATAATCAATCATGGGGTGGTCTTGTAATGATGTTGCCATCTCAACAAGGTCATCTTCAAGATACCAACTGGGCTCGACCTCCAGTTGACCATCGTATCTCAGCTCGTCGCAGGTGCGTACGCCCGCCTTGCCGTCGTTCAGGAAGCCGGTGATAGGTAAGATCTGGAGGTCATTTTCCACCCTCGTCTCGAAATAAGGGGCAGTAGGCAGCCAGGACTTGCACACTATGTTAGTGAAATGTTCGGACAGGTCCATTCTCAACTACCTGTATAGACTCAAGAGTGAGTGTCCGAAGGCAAGCCAGGATAACAACGGCCGCAATCAATGCCCTTGTAATCCTGCGACGACCGTATCCGCGCTTCCATGCCGGTACGGGCTCATGGGCTTTCATGTCTGCGACTATCCAGCCAAATCGACGGTGCAGGCCGAAGTCACATAGAGGAATCAATGCTCATGCTTGCGATGCTGTTCGAACGCGACGTATGAAGGAGAGAATGTAGTTTGGCGAGCACCACGACACGGTCAGCTGCAGAACGCCCCCGGCCGAGCCATCAACCAAGGACCAGAAGATGTATACAAGCCAACCCCCTTGCAGTCCTGTAGCGTGGACGCAAGGACGCACCCGCAATCAAACTTCAACTCACGTCAGCTTGACAGCTTTCTTGCCATCGGAACCCGGTTCTGGTTTTGCTCAATCCGCCGAGTCAAACTGCGCGGCCTCCCAGGTAATCCATTTATGTGCCGGTGAGTCTACACCTAGGTCCGAGCAGGCAATTGCCTGCACTCAGTTGAAAGACTGATCATTGCCGCTTTGCAACAGGGAAAGGCAAGATGCGAATCGAAGTGGTCGTGTCACGGCACACGCTTCCTTCCGCGCCATCATCACGTTCCACGCGTCATGCCCACCAAGTGGGCGGCCACGTCCAGAGAATGTGGGAGAAGCGTTGCCTTACCTACTGTGACAGTAGTTGTAGCCTTGCTAAATACCTACCTAGTAGACTCTGAGCTGTCGAGGTAATCTAGACCTGAGACAAATACTCTAACATGTTCTGATAGGCCAATGAGAGCCGTATCTAGGAGCACTATCATTCCTAGCGCAATCGACTAATCCCGTCCAGCAGTCCGACATGTCTTCATCTCCCTTGCACCATGCTGACAGATAGGAGGCGAGGAGTGCTCCGCACCATGTTTGTGCCGCTATGTCACAGAACCGATTACTGAGAATAGGATAGGAGTACGCATACAGAGTACCGTCCCCAGTCCACGGCATCTGCGTTTATTCTTACAGACACTCTCAATCTAGCATGTCGAGTGTCGATATCTCTTCCTGTTCAATCTCATGCCTTTCCACCCCTCGCCAGATCTCGTATGTCAACACAGTCATGTCCATATAAGTGAGCATGAGTCTGTACCTGCGGCTGTTCTCCGTGGACTGCCATGAGTCCATGCTCGAGGGTGTCTGCCATGTACTAGTTTCGGTGCTCACCCTCGAAGGTGGCTCGGTGTCAGGAGAATAGGACAGTCTCTTACGTTTCAGCTTATGCTCACCGTCGTTCTCGCCGCCTCCACTCTCTTGGCCAGGGCTTTGCTCATGCGTGTCGCTTTCTGGGGGTTCACATTGCCGGACGACGACAACGGCGGGATCAAATGTGGTGGGTACCCCATCGACCGTGCCATCCGAGCCCCATTCAATCGCAGTATCATTTGTATAGCCGGCCGCGTGAGCTTCTTTCTTCAAGTGACCCTGAATCGGTGAGGCCGCAATCCCCAACAAAGGCAGGAACGGTCGCAGCTTTTGAACCTCTTGTTTGTGAGTAGGCAGCGTCCAATCGACCCTCAACCCATATGAGCCAGTTTTGTCGTTCTTGGTCAGGCTGCAGATCGCACACCGGCCCAGCTGTGTAGCTACAATCACCACTCCTAACTCGGGGATTTCCTGTATCATGTTCAGCCTATCCAGGTGCGAATGTCTCGTCTGCTCAATCTCTTGTGGCAAAACTTGCTTCAGGAGATTGGCACAAAAAAGGTGGGCGCTATCTGCTTCCGGTGCAATCATGAGCCTGAGATTCGAGGTGCTGCAGTGAAGAACTGGTATAGCAGGAGGAGTTGTCCCTGTGCGAACCTTGTGGGCATCCCAGCCACTGCTCTTCCACTTAGGTTTTTGATGTGCTGGCCCAAACTGTTGCCGCTCAGACATGGATGGCTCCACTTGCAGGGTCGATGCCGTCTCGCCCTGGGCTTCATGATTGTTCCTACGGACGATGTCGACTGATCGCGGAGCGCTGGAATTACCAGCCGACGCGATACCGTCCTGCCCGCCCTCAAAAGCATTAGAACCGGTCCGAGGCTGTTCAGAAAGCACGGTATTAGAAGGGGCTCCTGTCCCAACAGGAGGAGTTGCCGTATTGTGATCAGAACCCCGGTCCAGATTTGAGCTCGTTATTTCCACGACTACCGTCAATCGATCTGCTGCTTCGCTCTCTGCAACATCGGAAGATGTTTCCGAGGAGATCTCAGCCGCAGGGCGAGGATCAATTTGCCTGGTGAGTTCGTCTAGTATGGTTTCGTCATCCTCAACATCGCCTTGGTCCATATCTGACCACGAGCCAGAAGTCTCCTGGTCGCCTTCGTCGCCACTTTCCTCTTCCGGGGACCCATCCAGTGGCGGAAACGTGGCGCTGTTGCCCGGCGTGCGAACCCTAACGATGTGAGTGATATCGTAACTTTCACCAGCATGCCCATGGTACTGGGGGGCTTTGGAATGTCCGCAGAACTCGTCCATGGTCTCGGCTAGCCGGAAAGCACGAGAGTCCAAGGCAGTAACAAGCCATCCTCCTTCGCGTCTTGGAAAGAAGGCTGAGCGCATTCTTTTTTCGGATAAGTCCCATGTCTTGAGGCACTTGCCCTGCCAAATCTGCCACATCTTCATCATACCTGCGATGTCGGTGCTCAACAGCCACCGGCCTTCCAAATCCTGGTCCGTATTCACAAACGAGATGCTTGGAATATTGTGGTCGTGTCCATCAAAGCCCGCCAATGTGATCTTGTAGTTCTTATTTCTTGGTGGAGGGAACATGTCCGATACATTGGTTTCCCATTCGGGCCAGTCTGGCTGCCTGGTGTGTTCAGCGGCATCGAAGGTTTCATGCATGGACTCATCTTCGTCCTCGTCCTCGTCCTCGTCCTCTTCCTCTTCCCCTTGTTGTTCCTTTGTCAAGGCGAAAGCGAAGACGGTAATCTTGGCCGTAGGATCGCCACTCTGAATGTGATAGGGAGTGTTTGCTGAAACGGCGATCATACGGGCATGGGTGTGGATACTCAGCCCCCAAGCCGACTCACCAACCCATTGTGCAAAGCAGGCCCTTACCCCCAAATGGTCGCTCCGTGGATGCGGGATGTAAGGCAATGGTGTTTTCCTTATGGCTGCCTCCAGTGACTTAGTATAGTAAGCTGTGACATTACCGGAATCGGTTGCGAGCAGCAGGATTTCCTCCGTCCCCAGATCACCCACAGTTAGATGATTGATATCATGGGGCGAGTGCGGATCAATATAGCCTTTAGCATTCGGATTGGCTAGGGTCGGTAGGATCATCAGACAGGGTATTCGGTGAAGTCTCTGGAAGGGAAACTCTGGTTTGTAGACGACGATGGAATTCCGCGTTGCCACGAAGTAGAGATTGTAGCGCTGGGACAGAGCGGTCAAATTGTTTCGCCAGTAAGCTATAGGAGGCGGATGGAACATTTCATGGCTGGTAAACCTGTCTCTTCCCACTTCCACGCTCGTCAGGCCAACATTGACCGACTCAAACGGCCTTGGGTCAAGCTCCATGATGCCCAAGTGGTTTGGGACGTTGTTCGGAGAATGAGCATCGGTCGGTCAGGAGAGCACCTGGAATTGCCTCAACCCCTTCAAATATTCACGTCATGCCACTTGTTATACTCGCTCTTTAAGTATATCCGGGAAAGGCACGGCTCAGGAGTGAGGCTAGAGAGGCTTGAGCTCGTCGGGAGGTCGATCGGCTTCAAGAAGCTGGTGGGATGTCATGAGAACTGCTAGGCGGCTAGGCTTCGTCGCGGCGAGAGCCCTAGATAGATAGTAGCAGAGGTCAGGATCTCGGCCTGCGTCGCCAGGAGGGAAGGGGAGCAAGTGACAAGTCGAATAATGACAGCTCCAGAGAAGCGAGTGTCTAAAGGGATCGAGATGTACACAGTACGTACGACGTGACTGCCCTGGTGGTCTGTGGTGGAGAAGACAGAAGGCCCAAATGACGCAGCCTGCGCCGTTTGCGAGAGAATTCGATACGCCTCGCAGATACATCTTCGATCGATCGTTCACCATCTACCAGCTCCATTTCCGCCGATACTTGCACTTTCTTGCTGAGGTTGGCAACCCCAAAAAAGTCAAATCGCAGGGTATTGTTTTGTCTGAGACCGAGAACTATCTTTTTTCGCCCCTGCAGCAACGCCGCACCATCCCCTCGTCCTAGCCATCCCGATCAATGCACGAACAGGCGGACCGCCCTCCGCAAGTAGACGGATACTGAACAGGTCTGCCAAATTATCATTGTCCTTCCCGTGGCTACAAGGAGATTGTGTTACACAGCAGCACGCAGCCCAAGTGCGGAGCAGGCTCGTTGATCCCTACGATCTCTAAACTTGGATTGCCTCGAATCTCCGCAACTCCAACATGGACCTCCTGGCCACGGTGCGCAAGGAAGGTTCGCGAGGTGGTCGCGGCGAATTCAAGTGGTCCGAGGTGCAGACATCTACTCGTCGTGAGCATTATCTGGGCCATTCTTTGATGGCACCCGTGGGACGCTGGCAAAAAGGTCGCGATCTCAACTGGTACGCGAAGGGCGGGACCGATACGGAAACCGAGGAGGAAGCCGCTGCCAGAGCTGCAAGAGAGCGGAAAGAAGAAATTCAACGAATCAAGGAGGCTGAAGAGGACGCACTCGCAAGAGCCTTGGGCTTACCTGTTGCACCACGGAATAACCCCAACATGGAAGAATTAGGCGCCCGCCGCGAGGTTGGCAAGATTTTGAAGGAGTCCACCGAAGAGAACGAAACTGCGGGTTCACAAGGTGTCGGATACGGGCGCCTTGCAGGGGTGTCAGGATCAACGGAGACGGAACCCATAGTGGAACGGTTGGAAGGACATAGAAGCGGACAAGACACCGAGCTTCAGTATGCATTGAAGGAATACAACAGACGCCATGGTGGTGAGAGACTTCGAAGTCGCAGTCGGAGCAGAGACCGCCGCAGAGATCGCCACAGAGATTATGAGCATCGAAGAAAGCACAGAGATGAAGGTCATCGACGAAGCCACCACCGGTCACCCTCAGCTGGCCGCCACGAGAGCAGACGCCCTAGGTCGGCCTCTCGCGACAAACATCGCGGTCACGGTCGGCGAGAGAGATCGAGAAGCAGGTCCCCCGGTCGTCGCCGCCATCAAACTGACCATGGCGGGCGCGACAGTAGAAGCCGACACGAAAGACGCTAATTTCCACTGGGTGTTGATTCCGTGATCTAAAACACTACGCTGGACGTAGTCCCAAAGAGGCATCAAAGAGATCCCCTTCGACATCTTTGAGGTCAACATCTACCAGAGTCGATGCTCGTCGAGCGCTGGAACCCTGCCTGCCAATGTCGGCCGACGCACTAACATCTGCAAATTCCTCCAACTCTTCGCTCACGGTTTTGAGTTTCTCCTTGACGCTGGCGACGCCCTCAACACCCACAATGTGCCTTGCTGGAGGATTCTCGTGTCCGCCTATAGCTGTCAGGGCATGGACAGTCTCTGCAAGCAGTGTCTCTGTGTGGCCATCACTGAGTGGTGGATATAGGCTGACCACTTCATTTCGGCTTAGAAGATAGGGACCACTATGCCTTTCGGCTTCGGAAGATGGAGACTGTATCTCTTGCTCTGGCTCTGATGACGGTGGGTATTGGGCGCGTATCCCGGGCAGTCGGTTAAGTAAACCGTCTAGAATGCCTCGAAAGATTGGGGCCGTATGACCGAACTCACGCGAGTATGCTTTCATCGGCGGTGCCGACGTGATCTTGTTGGTCAGTATTCCGATCTCTACGCTGGCTTGAACGATGGTCAACTTGATGTTGAATGGCGCGACCTCGTATGCGATGCTGTCGCAAAACCCTTCCAGAGCCCATCCAGCGGAACAGTACATGCTTAAGCCGGGGGTACCCAAATGGCCGTGGATGCCTGTGAGGACAATGATATGACCGTTCATCTTGGAGCGCATCTCGGGGATGACAGCCTTGATGATATTCATTGGGCCGAAGAAGTTCTTCTCGAACTGGTCGCGCACCAGTGTCGAGGTTCGCTGGTTTGCTGCGAGCTCTTCAACCGTGCCGACCACCGCTTCACTCGAACAACAGAACAGGATGTCAATCTTCTTGAAGGCATGCACGGACTCGGCAACCGCTGCTTGACACTGATAAACCGTTCTGTGTCACGTCAATGATGGCGTCTTGAATTCGAGAAGTGATATAGGCTCCTTTGCCGAGCAATAGATCAATGTGAAGGCTAGGATACATACCTGATATCCAAGGGGACGATTTTCATGCGGTCTTTCCATCCATGTTCGCCTGCGACTTCGCTGAGGAACCGTTTGTACTGCTGGCTCCGGGGACTGTCGCTCTCGAACTCGGAATGAATGATACCAGACACGACGTAGTCGCCATGATCCAGAACCTGTCGCGAGACAGAAATCCCAATGGGGGAATCTCCCGACGTGATCAGCCACACCCGCGGTGCGTTGTGGGTGGGAAACTGGGGCGTTGGTAGGGGCGCCGACGCTCCATTTGCCATTGCAGAACCTCAGAGATCATCTTCCAGCCTGCATTCTAGCTTGAGGAGCTGATGAGCAGGGCTGATGGCGTGGTCAGTGTCTGGCTTCCTTTTGATTTGGTTGCAAGACGTGAGTCGCACTCCAAGGCCAGTGTGGCCAAGACGAGGGACCGAACGTCAACTTGAACCCCACGCCGGCTAAGCAGGCCTTACCCCTCAGGAAACGGGGTGACGCCGCCTTGTGGTTACGTGTCGGAATCTACTGTAGGAGTTGACTTGTGACGCTGTTACGGAGTTCGAGTACAGGGGGACACTTAGGAGTCTAGTAGTAGTAGGAAGGCTACCAGCTTTTATCCGCCTCAATGAAGCATGAATCGAGACCAGCACCAGTCCTACTACAGGCCCATCTTGGTGTGAAGCGGCGTAACTTAGTTCAGGGCTACGGTGTGCTCGCCGGATTGCGACTATTGCCTCCTCAGGCGATTGTCTCCCTTCAAGATGGTCGTCTGGCGTGCTGGCTTGATGAGACTGGAACTGTTGATGTCGTGATCTCAGCAGTGGCTGGTTTGAGGGTTGAAGAGAACGCCATTATTGCTGCCAAGCACGTCGGCCTTCGGATCAAGTCTTTATCCGGCAGAAAGCCTGCGCTGTCTACTCCGTACATAGGAACTTCATCCCACCCCCGGCCTCTCTTCTGCGGACTCGACATCTCTGTTTCAATTGTCCGTCGACTCTTCTACAGCCAAGATGCCCGAGTCCAGGGGTAGCGGCGCACCTGCTGCCGCCAGGCAGGAAGAAGGAGGAAAGGTGAGAACTCAGAGCTACAACTCGCCCAGTTGAATCGCTTTTACTGACGACTTCTAGTCAACGTTGCAGACCATCATTCAGGGCATCGCGATTTTCGTCTTCACCCAGTTTGTCATCAACCAATTCTTCGGCTCCAAGACGCAACCTAGCGGCGGGGGCGTTGCTGCTCCGAACACAGTCTCGAGCTTCGATGACCGAGTCGATCCGACCGCATTGACGAACTATTCTGCCATACCGTACAACATCGCTCCTATCTGGCCAGATGACAGTGTCATTGACATTCAAGTGTATGTCTCGGCGAAGTCGGAGCTTCCTGCTCTGTCAAGCGTCCCGAAGGACACTCTCGTCGTAGATGGCAAGGCTTTCAAGATTGGAGACTTTTCAGAGAATCGGGAAATCAACACCAAGATTGCGATCCCTGCGGAGGTTCAACACAACGGCACTCTCTGGGCGCACTTCCTTGTCGGTTTGACAGGCAGTCAACTCGACCCGACTGCGGCGAATTATGACCCGGCGAAGGCAACCCACTTCAAGAGGCCGTTGAACCACTATCTACCCAAGAAGAAGGTGCGCAAGCTGAAGAACTTGTTGGACAAGACCGACGAGCCGGAATTGGAACCGGAAGAACCCCAGGGTGTCCAGATCGGCTCGTTCTACCATCCCAACTTCACCGTGGCTGTGGTGCCCGGCACAGGCGTGCAGAACTGGCGCCAAATGCATCCGGCCGTGCGCAAGAACATTGTCCTCGAGCCCACAGGTGCCCGTGATGCTTCGGGCTTGAATGGATGGTATTATCCCGTCGTTTTCCTCAACACCTTCTGGCAGCTGCGGTCGCATATGACGGAGCTCAACGACACAGTGAAGGAGGTGCCGCTGAACATCAACCTCAACAACCTAGCCAACTGGAAATACAGTATCCTCGCCAGCGTCGACGACGGCATGAAGCAGAACCAGCAGCAAGCAGCCCAGGGAGGTTCATTGCCGGGCGGCGCGGGCGACGGAAGCGAGTTTGAGAAGCTGAAGGAAGTGCTTCTGGACACGAATGCATATCTTCTCGGAACGACGTTTGCGGTCAGCATCCTGCATATGGTCTTTGAAGGGCTGGCGTTCAAGAATGACATCTCGCACTGGCGGAAGAGAAAAGACAACGTGGGAACGTCGGTTCGCACGATCCTGGCCAACGTGTTCATGCAGACGGTCATCTTCCTGTACCTGGTCGACAACTCGGACGGCACATCGTGGATGATTCTGGCCAGCCAAGGATTCGGCATCGTCCTGGAAGCATGGAAGATCACCAAGATGGTCAACGTGCGGCTTCGCGAGCCCGGCCCGGAGTCACGGTTCAAGTTTCTCCCTTACGTGATTGTGTTCGAGGACAAGCACAAGTTGACGAAGAAAGAAAAACAGACTCAGGAGTATGACCAGATCGCCTTCCGCTATCTTTACATTGTCGCCGTTCCCCTGCTGCTCGCGTACGCGGCCTACTCGCTGGTCTATGAACCACACAAGTCCTGGTACAGCTTTGTGATCGAGACACTTGTGGGATCTGTCTACGCGTATGGGTTCTTGATGATGGTGCCTAGCTTGTACATCAACTACCGGCTCAAGTCAGTGGCGCACATGCCCAGCCGCACGCTGTTTTACAAATTCCTCAATACCTTTATCGACGACCTGTTCGCCTTTACCATCCGCATGCCCTTCCTACATCGTTTGGCTACCCTGCGCGACGATGTCATCTTCTTCGTCTGGCTGTACCAGAAGTGGGCGTACAAAGTCGACCACTCGCGCGTCAACGAGTTTGGCCAGGGCGGTGACGGGAGCGACGAGGATGAAGACGAAGATGAAGATGAATCCAAGGTAGCAGACGGTGGTGCGAAATCAGCCCCAAAAGCCCTCGACGGCCAGGGTACCAAGCAGCTCAAACCTACAGCTCCCGTAGCCAGTGCCAGTGGAGCTGAGAGCAAGGCCGGAGCCAAGAAAAGGAAGTGAAGAAGGGAATTGCCTTTCGGCGCCGGTGCCACCCGCTTCCACTCCAGCCCTGGCTGTGCGTGTCTTTGACCATGTGATCCAGCTGTGAGGGTTCTTGAAAGAAGGGAGAGCCTAGGGAAAACATCAATCATCAAAGCAGAGGTGGGGGGTGAAGATGAGGTTCAAGGGGAACCTGGTGAGAAGGGCCAAGGCGGGGCTGTTGCACGTATAGCAAGGCCGCAGTGTTGGAAACGGCAGTGCAAGGCAACCAAAAAAAGAGGGCTCCTAAGGCTATGAGTGGAGCCTTTTGGTGCAGTCCTAAGGCTCCAACCGTCGTCCCAATCAAACAGCACAGTTCATGTCCTGGAACATCTTTCCATTCTTTTTTCTCTTTTCGCCGTTCCTCCTGCGCAGCCACGCTGTTCTGTTCTCCAGATCGACTCGCCCGTCGAAGCCACACTGCCGCCTTGCTCCGCCTCAGATCCCTCCGAATGCCTTGACCTTGCACTTTGACCATTTCATTGGGTCTTCCCAAACCCCTCCGGTTCAGACTCGGTCCCTCCAAAGAAGACGTTACAGACTCGGTCGCTCCGAATCAGACGTTGCAGACCTGGTTACGCCCAAGGCGGTTCCACCCTCCACTTCATACCTTTCCCTCATACCTGTCCCTCATACATTTCCCTCTCACTGGCTAGCAGGAGAGGCGGGAGCTTGGCCAGTAAAAGGGGTTGCTGTGGCTGACGCATGTCAGTGGTGGCCAGTCCACTAAGTGCGTCTGCATCTGCATCTGCGTTTGCGTCTGCATTTGCATCAATAGATACAGAGAAAGTATTCTATTGTCAGTGTTTCTTTTGTTTCTTCTTCTTTAAAAAAAGGTAAATCTCTCGCTATGTTCCGATTACGTTACTGCAGGTGTACGGATACATCCCATGTTCTACCGACGATCAGATCATGTCATGTCATGTCATGTCGGGAACTTTCAAGACCAGTCATCGATCACGTTTATTATTGGATAGGTTAGGTTAGGTACAGTATCATTTTCACTCTTCTTCTTCTCTCGTTCTTGGTTCTTCCTCTGGTTCATGGTTCGTGGTTCATGGTTCGTGGTTCATGGTTCGTGGTTCATGGTTCGTGGTTCATGGTT